TAGACAGCTAGTAATGTCCAGATCTGCATGATAATAAAAATATTAAAAATAGAAGTTTGTTATTGATACACATTAAACTCTTCTTCCCTTTTATAGTACTGTTATCACATTTCTACCACCTTCTGAAATGTTCTTTTGGAAACACTATGAAACATTGTAAACATGCACTTTACAATGACAAAGAGAGTGGTTGTCCAACCTTTTGACTTTCCTGGGTTGTGTCGAGTGACTTGGACCACATATAAAACATGCAATATAGTTAATGTGTATCAATAACAAACTTCTATTTTTAATATTTTTATTATCATGCAGATCTGGACATTACTAGCTGTCTAGGGCCGCATGTGGCCCATGAGTCACTGTGAATCTGGTAGCAACTACCTTGGCTTTAATTATTTTTAAAAAATTATTTAAAATTCTTTCCTTTTCCTCATGACTGGTGAGGCCACGCCTCTCCTGCCTCTAGTGACTACACTTCCCTGATTTATTGTAATTACTTATGTCAGCCCTTACACACCTATTCAATCTTCTGAACCTTACCAATATTTAAGAAATAATACCTCTGGCATACAATATTCTTTAGAATGTTTTATAGCCATGATGTCAATGTGGCTGAAGTACAGCTATCTTACTTCCAATTTGAATAGGTGTGCCATGTAAAAACAGTACATACCTGGGAATAAGTCCTGTTGGGTTTAGAAGGTTTTAGTTCACAACAAAAATGGACAGTATTGCATTGCAGATTGTCTAAAGTACCTCAAAAATCCATTAACTGAGTTTTCAGTCAAATAAACTCCCCAAAGGGATACACAATGTAAATGAGGAGAAATGAGTTTTTGAGATGTACAGTATTTATAGTTACTCTGCTATACTTTTCTTATAAACAAAATCTAAGCTAATCTGCAGAAACTGTTTGATATCAATAATGCCTATCACTAACACTTGGATGATGTTGTCCCACAGCTAAAGTCCATTTTCAACACTCAGCAGAATTAATTAAACATCTAATAAAAGCCGAAGTGAATTATACTATGCAGGTATGTAATATTTAGGAATGTCATAGCTTATGCATCTTTTTAGGTTTAGATTTCTTATGTTCTTTGTTGCATGTATTTGAAATGCATCTTTGTCTAGAAAGCCTGGCTCGGTATCTATATATTCATAGCTAACTATAATTTAAATATATTTGAGAAATATTTTACTCAAAATAGATCCAATAAAAGAGAAAGAAAAAAATAATGCTTTAAGCAATAGTAAGAGCAGAATATAAATTATAAAATATATAATATTTAGTTTTTACCACAATTAATATTGAAATAACCATACTTTTTAAACTTGAAATATTTGCCTTTATAGCATTAATACTGTATATTTTTCATAAAAAATATTTTACAAGACAGATCTGATACATAAACAGAATGTTTATGAGAAATGTCTATTGAACTAATGGACTTCTGCTTATGATGATGGATGTAGTACATAGAGGCAAAAATTGTAAAGTGAACAGTGAAAGCAACCTACAGTAGTTATCTATTGCCTGCAAAACTTCAGGAGTAGAATTGTACACTGATTTGTTAAAAATCAGAGTTTCCTGAAATCAAATTGTATTGGAGCTGAAGATCCATTGCTGTTTGAAAATTTTAATTACAGGTTTTTTTCGGAGTATAAGACGCACCGGAGTATAAGGCGCACCAAGGTTTTGAAGAGGCATTTTTTTTTAAAGTAGGTAGGTAGATAGAGGGAGAGAAAGAGAGAGAAATACATTAGGTACGTAGGGAGAGAAAGAGGGTAGGTAGGTAGGTAGGTAGGTAGGTAGGTAGGTAGGTAGGTAGGTAGGTAGGTTAGAGAGAAAGAAATAGAAAGAGATAGATAGAGAAATACAGTAAATAGGGAGAGAGGGTAGGTAGGTAGGTAGGTAGGTAGGTAGGTAGGTAGGTAGGTAGGTAGGTAGGTAGAGAGAGGGATGGAGAGAGAGAGAGAGAAATACAGTAGATAGGTAGGGTGAGAGAGAGAGTAGGTAGGTAGTTAGATGTTTCCAGGTGTATTTATCCATGTGCTGGAGAAGGAAATCACTGACAATCTGCAACACCTAAGACTTTGTTTCTGCTGGCACAATACTTATTGTATTACAATAATGTAATTCTCATCAATCAGTCAAAGAGCTTTCTAAAAGGGAAAAAAAAAGTTTTTGCACTTTGCAAACCTTCCAAAAATGGGCCTTTTTTTTCCAAATAAGGCATGAATAGCCATTGGGGGTGGGGGCTTGCAGAGTAATTCTGGAGGGGGGGAAATTAGCAAGAACCGGCCTGTTTTTCATGAAAACGGACCTGGTTTTTTGTCAAAAAATTACATGCATAGCCTTATGGAGACTTACAGAGTGCTGCTGGGGGCTGGGTGGGGAAAATGACCCATTTTTTGCTCATTTCTGCTCTCACCAGCCTCCAGGAGCTCTTTGAAAGCCTCCATAATGCACGGCCATTTTGGTGAAGGGACAGGGCTTCGGGAGGCAAAAAATGCTGTATTTGATGTATAAGACGCACCCAGATTTCCAGCCTCTTTTTTGAAGAAAAAAGGTGCATCTTATACTCTGAAAAATACGGTATTTGGCATCCTGTTTTTAGTATTTAGAGAAGCAGTGGTGTTTTTCCTTGGATTACAACATAAACTGTGATTAATGAGTATAGTTTTTTTTACCAATGTTTGAAACAATTTCCCTTCAATCTTGAAAAATTAAATAAGTGATGCCATTTAAAAAAAATCATTTTTAAAATCTTAAAAGCTAGAAATATTTTGTGCAGTCTGTAAAGTGATGGTTTAAATCAGATCTGGGCATTTTGCAGCCCCCAGACCACATCCAGCCATTTGGCTAGCCCTCTGCAGTCCACATGTGATCAACCAGAAATTAAAAATCAAGTGTAAGTAAATGTGCTATAGAGGTGGGAAAAGAAGCCAAGTTTGGTCTGGTTCTGAACAGTCACCGTTTTCTCCTTCATTTGGCTAATGGCCATGGAAAGATGACAAGAGAAATCATTTTCTGCATTTGCAGAGCACTCATCCATCACCTGGAGCAACTAAGGAGTTCAGGTGATAAGTTTGACGACATAAAATCAGGTACATTGGTTCGGCCCTCCCTAATAGTCCCATTTCTCACATAGCTTTTTGGGAAAATTAAACTCCTGGTTTAAGTTATAAAATAAATATATTTCACTTTTGAAATTTAGATGTTTTCAGAGGAACCACAATAATTGTCTGAAATATTCATTCTGTGATGATAAAAATGCATTTGAAAACTTGTCAACTGGTTTTTAAAAAAATTGTTTATTTCTATTTTTCCTATCCTAGATCTATCCAGATGAGGGTCATTACATTACGTCAGAGAAGAGTAAATATCACCTTTATAGCACAATTCTCAACTTTTTTAGTGCTTGTTTAAAGGAAGAAACACCCATTTTACCACAGGAAGTAGAAGATGATGAATAAGGAATGAAGAATAGGACTTGTATGAGGATCACTACAACCACATTTAAAGCTGACTGTAAAAAAAACAGATTCTTTGGGAGCCTGAGGGCAGCCAAAGTTTATAGCAGCAGAGCAGCACATTTTGTGACAATGGGCTAAAAGAACTGGGATTTGAATACACAAATCGATGTGCGATGAAGGAACAAAACATATACCTTTGTGCAAGGCCAAAGGTTGGATGCAGTTTTCTGAAAGATATTAATTTTGCATAAGAGTAGAGTTAGTGCATGTTGATTTTGTTACGATTCACTGTTTGTTCAGTATGTAGTTGCTCTGTTTTATTTAGTATGCACATAACTTTTTGATTTCAGGACAATGCACACTTTCATAGGCCGCTAATATTTGGGGAAGGGACTTGCAGTCTAATATTCAATAGTAATTTTAGATTAAGTGCATTTTTTTCACTAAGCATCAAAATATTGGGGAAAATGCATTTTAGTTGACTGAAAGACAAATCAGATGAGTAGACTTTAATTATAAATGTCAAGTGTTTATACCAACTAAATCAGTAAGCAAAACTGCAGTAGTATATGCTTGAACTTTATGTATATACTCAAGATTCCTTCCACAACAGTAACAACAAAAAGCAATCTCCACTTTAATATATATATATATTTTTAAGAATACAATTACACTTGTGTGTCAATCGACATCAACAACTAAAATAATTCCCCAGTTAAAAGTTGCATATTTTGAATTACTAAGCAATGTTTGGGTTGTGCTTTTTCTTGTATTGTTTACAGTATTTTGCTGGTTATGCTCTAATTTTAGAGTACATTACTTTGTCACTTGTACATTAGATACATGAATATTAAATTATAGTTTCAGATAAAGAAATTTTATTAACAATGTAATGCCATAGAGTAATACTTTGCTGAGCTATTTTGTAAAGCTGTCCCTCCCCCCATTTCTTCATACTGGTTGGGATTTCATTTTGAACTTCAGTGGTAGCGTATTGCAGAGCTATATGTCAGATTTCCTTTTGTGCTTCACAGCTGTTCATTGAGTCTGTTACAAGAATGATTTAAACTCAGCTGAATAAGTTAAAAATTATTTGTCTCCATGTAGTTTCAAGAAAACTTCTGATAAATGATTTTTATTTTATTTCATTTAGATGAAAATCCTGCGGTGCATCCATGTATTTATCAAGGTGAATTACACCCTTAAAATGATGCCATGAAATAAACAAACCAGGGAACTTTGGCCATCAAAATATAACTGAGATCAAGTGCTATATTTATTTAATTTTAGAGATCTTTGGAGTATGTATAAGTGGGGCAATTGTAATGGTTTAAAGTTCCACTTCTCAATATTTTTTCCAGGGCTGGATTCACTTAAAAAGCCTAATTCTTGCAATTTTCAGGGTTTTTAAAAAATTTATATTTATCCATTTTTGCAATGTGTTGTAACACCTGGAAGATTTACAGCATGTGTGCTATTTTTAAAGTAATATTCTTAATGCATAAATATACCATCTTTTTTATTTTGAAAATTACTTGCCTGAAATAGTAAATAGCATACATATATTTCTGCTAAGGTGAAAAGTTCATTTTATTTATAAATCAAAAGAGATGCTGTTATTCTAAATTATACTGCATGTGAAATATAGTTTAGGATATTATAGAATAGAATAGAATAGAAGTTTATTTATATGCCGCCCTTTTCCCTGGGGGGACTCAGGGCGGCTCACAACCCAAAGGGAAGGGGAAGACAAACTTTTAACATATAAGACAATACATAATTAAAAACACAACATTCATACCATTCGGGCGGGTTACAGTCTTAGCCCCAGGCCTGACGGGAAAGCCAGATTCTGAGGGCTGTGCGGAAGGTCTGGAGGGTGGTGAGGGTACGAATCTCCACGGGGAGATTGTTCCATAGGGTCGGAGCTGCCACCGAGAAGGCTCTCCTCCGCGTAGTTGCCAGTCGGCATTGACCGGCAGATGGAACTCGGAGGAGGCCTAATCGATGAGATCTAATAGGTCGCGTGGAGGTAATTGGCAGTAGGCGGTCTCTCAAGTACCCAGATCCACTACCATGTAGGGCTTTATGGGTGACAAGTAGCACCTTGAAGCGCACCCGGAGATCGACAGGTAGCCAGTGCAGCTCGCGGAGGATAGGTGTTATGTGGGTGAAGCGAGGTGCACCCACAATCGCTCGCGCGGCCGCATTCTGGACTAGCTGAAGTCGCCGAATACTCTTCAAGGGCAGCCCCATGTAGAGCACATTGCAGTACTCCAGCCTAGAGGTCACAAGGGCACGAGTGACTGTTGTGAGAGCCTCCCGGTTCAGGTAGGGGCGCAACTGGTGTACCAGGCGAACCTGGGCAAATGCCCCCCTGGTCACAGCTGACAAATGGTGTTCGAAAGTCAGCTGTGGGTCCAGGAGGACTCCCAAGTTGCGGACCCTGTCTGAGGGGTATAATGTTTGACCCCCCAGCCTGAGAGGTGGAATACTTGCCAAATTGGTGGGAGGGAAACACAACAGCCACTCGGTCTTATCTGGGTTGAGCACGAGTTTGTTAGCCCTCATCCAGTCCCTAACAGCTTCAAGTCCCTGGTTCATCACGTCCACCGCTTCATTGAGTTGGCACGGGGCGGACAGATACAACTGAGTATCGTCCGCATACTGGTGGTATTTTATCCCGTGCCGCCGAATGATCTCGCCCAGCGGTTTCATGTAGATGTTGAAGAGTAGGGGGGACAAGACCGAACCCTGTGGCACCCCACATGTTAGGGGCCTAGGGGTCGATCTCTGCCCTCCAACTAACACCGACTGCGACCTGTCCGAGAGGTAAGAGGAGAACCACTGCAAAACAGTGCCTCCCACCCCCACCTCCCGCAGTCGTCGCAGAAGGATACCATGGTCGATGGTATCGGAAGCCGCTGAGAGGTCAAGGAGAACCAGGATGGAGGGTATGAGGGGTATGTGCCCTTAGATTTGTTCACAATCTTTCTTGGGAATCAACATGAAACTGTCTCAAAATCCAATATTTATTAACCCACCAATTACCTATATTTCAGAATAACATAAATTAATTTTTTTAAAGTTTTTATTCTACAAACTAGTAAAGTTAAAATATATGCATCATTTTAAAAAGCAGCACAATGACAAAATTTATAAGCATAGTAATAAAACTTTAAGTGGGGAACTTTAAGAAAGATCTTGAGATTGTTTTAAACAGAACAAAAAAAATCTCACCAATGTTTTTAAAAGTAGATGTATATGCTATTTTTAATTTATAGTTATCTTAGCATATAAGCTACCCATGGAGCCAAATTCGCATCTTTTCTGTATATCTCTTCTAGCATTAATTACAACTATGAACATTGATCCCCGCACAAGCAGGTATCCCAGTACTTGCCAGGACTTCAATAGGATCAAATTATAAACCTCAAAGAAACCCCAAGAAGAGCTGAATTTTGAAATTCTTCAGTTCAGTCAGTTTGCAAAACTAAGATCAGTGCCCCATGATAAATATGAAAGCATAAAAATTAAACCCTTATCTGGTAATCATACTTTCTGTAACAAAAATCTTGCAGGATACTTTTGTCAAATAAATGTATTTAGTATTTTGTACATTTGTTTAAAATAGTATTATGAAATAATTATGGGACAATGTCAGACTCTAAATCAACCATTAAGTTATATTTATATTAACTGCATGTATTTTACCCAAATACTCTAGGGAATTTTAGACAACTAAGACTAAAAGTAAACTGAGACTAAGTACAGTAAGTCTAAAATCTAAATTTAGTCTTTTATTACCATCAAAAGAGAGAATAAGGTTAAACTTATCAGTTGAGAAGGGTCCCTCAAAATTTATTTTCAAGGTAATGTATTGGAAACATAACTTAAGTCTTTACTTTTCCAAATCATTACTGTGATCAAGTGGCATCAAGTCCAATTTATTATTGAATAACTAGTTTGTATTTCAGACTCACATACTAATGGCATAAAAGAAAAGATATTTGGTAATTTATGCATGGAACCTATTACTAGCCAACATAACCTTTTATGTCTGAAGTCCTTGGTGCACTCTGGGCTTGGCTGCAGAAGTTTCATTGCCCTGCTAAGTAACATCATCAGTGCCTTTTATGTCTGCCCCATGATCATCTGTAATTACAGTGATATTTTTAGAATGTTCTTATGTAGACAAGGGACTCTAAACCAAATTAAAGAGAAAATGAAGTAGAGAAAATCCTTGAGGGCCCCTCAACGTAAATTTAAAGAAAAAAATGTACACCATTAATTAATATCACTTAAGTGAATGCATTATATCAATCAATAGAGCTTTGGCGAAACCCAAAAGATATCAAAGCACACTTCAGAAATTGTCAAGGTTTTCTATGTATTCAACTCATCTACAGTTGCTGATTCTTATCTATTTTGAAGAAAACTAAGAACATCAATTATAAATCTGTTATTACCAGAAAAATGACATTATCTAAATTCAGTCTAAGCAGAGTATGCTATTGTTGGAAAGATGTCCTTGAATTAAGAGGCCCAAGTCACTATTGAAATCTTGTCTTGTCCTGCCTGTAAATAGATTCACAGAAAAGTCAATAAAAACTATAATTAAGCTCTCAAAATAAAGAAATATTATAGCCTGAATACAAATAATAACAAAGGAGTAGAAAAGATGGGGCAAAGGAGATCCTCCTACTTCTATCAGAGCTTAACGTAACCTAGATATTGTTTGTGTTCCACCTAATTAGGAACGATTTCTGAATCCCATTTGATAATTTCAGAACAAATGTTTTTGGAAAACCAATGAACTATTGAAGATTCTTCCTTCGAGCAATATTTCTTGTTTTAACATTTTTCTGTGTTGTATTTCCTCAGTAGAATAATAGAAAAACATAGCAAGGCATTTTATCTACTTATGTGTTTACTACATAGAGTAGATCATGTGGAAATGTTCATTATTATGGCAGATCTGAGGAACCTCACGATAAATGGCCAGGTTTTTACAAAAAGAATAACTTGGCACTCTCATTATCTAGCTTCTCCCAGCACAGTTGATGCTTTTCAGTTTCCTTCAGGTACCTCATATCACATAGATTATCCCAGCAAGAATGAGATTCAAGAGTCTTAACTACTTTTAATAAATCACTTATAAATGTGAAGATCCAATGTGAAGGTATAAAGATCCAATGATTTCTCACAATCTTCCAGTTGATATATTCTGCTCCCATTTTATCTATTCTGATACTTAACAGTTGTAACAGAGTCTTTAATAATGTATTTTTTCCAAAACTCCAAAATAGTTGTCAGGATTTTCTCAGCAGCTGCTGACACTGTTGCTTAAGACGGGGCATAAGGTGGCAGACCTTTTTTGGGCACAATCCAGGCAAATAATTAACAAACTTTTCCCACTACTCAACAGGTGCTGTTATTGCTGGCTTCTATTGCTATTGGGTCAGATTAAGTCAATTCAATTTAAATATCTTTGGCTGCATGAATTGAATTTCTGCATACTTTAGTGATCTGAATATAAACAGCTCAGTGTCTCATTCATATCAAGGATGTGGACTGGTCAAATGCTCAGACAAATATATTCACTTGCAAATAGCTTCCAGGGGAAAATGGGTAAGACACACTTTGAAAAATACTGAGATATTGATGAAAATTTATTTCAAGATGTCATTGCTTTCATGACTAAACCACAAGGAACCAAGGTATTTTGTTTATTATTTATTTGTCAAATTTAGGTACCACCTATCTCACTCTCAGAATACTTTTATATAAACTGTCGTATTGATTTCAACTATAATTTTGGACAAAACATGGGTTAGTAAGATGTAGGACCAGATAGTTTGGTAAATAATATAATAAATTTCATTCATGCTAATTAAAGCTACTCTAAAGTTGTATTAGATTCTCCTTATAAAATAGAGGAGATGTCATTACCTCATGTACATTGGCTTTTTCATTTCAATTAGAAATATTTCAAATTATAAATTTAAAATATAATTCCATTGGGTCAGATTAATCAGGGCCGTGAAGTAAACTTACTCCTTTTAAAATAGTAGAACTGTCCTTCAGCATTATATTGGTACAAAGGACAGCAAAATATATAAAAATGCTAATGAATGGATAACCCAGTGGTGATGAAGAAACACATTTGCTCTGTTCTGCACTTGCTTCATCAGAGTTTCTCCTTTAATTCAGCTGTGTTTTGAATTTAAAAATGCATGTTACTCAGAGCTCTAGGTGGGCAAATATATGTTGAACAGTTGCAGTTACTACTTTGATTAGAGTAAAAAGATTTATTTGTGTAATGAGAAGAAAGGGATTCTGTGTATAGCACATTATACTTGGAAGAATATTTTCAAATGATATCCAGTTCATCAGAAAATTCTTCAGAGGGATAGAAAACAAGAAAGGCAGACCATTTATACTTATAAAAGGAGAAAAAATTAAAAGGTAACTATTCTTTGAAATACCTTAGAAGAGTTTGTACCAAAATTGTGTTGGGAATGAAAGGGCCATTTGGTTTATTCAATGTCCATTTTTTGAACATGTGTTTTTCTTGTTGTAGGTCTTTACATTTTATTATTTTGGCTTGCAAGAAGAGCTTATTCAAAGTTATTCTTAGATGTTGTTAAACCTAATGACAAGTCATGTCTTCAGATTTCGTCCATATTCTATG